AAACTAAAGAATGATTGCGGTTTTCATGAAGTTAAAGATGAAAAAGATGAAGGTCTTTTACATCCTGATGATTTGGAATACTTCCACCAAACGTATAATGTTACTGGGCTTCGCCCAGTGTTTGTGGACCATTCCGGATATGCGATGTTGATTTTAGATAATCGTGGCTCTATGTTTATATGGGACGAGATGGCACGTAACTTTGATTATTTGGGAAACAGTTTGAGAGAAGGTCTTACAAACTTTATCTACCATCCGGAGAAAATATGCGTTATAATTGAGTTCACCGGTGAGATGATACCAAGAGAAGAATTTAGACGTCAAATAAGAGAAGAGCTACGTGATCTCAAGTTCCTCTCGTTTGCAAAGAGTTCGTAGAAAAATTCTATACTTTCTTAATAATTTTTATACACTTGTGCTTTATTCATTGTTGCTGAATTTAACAATTAGTATTTGATTTAATAAAATAAATTGGTAATTCTGCTGCTTTCAATATAATTACTGGTAATGCTGAATTCTATGTCATTAATACAAGTTTCTGTTCCATTATCTCATTCGTGATCAATGATATTTATCTAAATGTATACTGTATATATGTGTTTATATTTAAAGTGAGGTCTTGCCTCGCAACTTTATTTACAAGTGTGCAAATCATGTAATGATGATTATACGGCAATTTAAATGGTCAATTTAAATGGTGTTACTTGAAAAAATCTTAGATCTGATTAGTCTGCGTGATTTTATTTGTCACATGATATTTGTTTATCGTATAACAATGCTTTACGCATTCTATCTTGTATGATTAGGTATTTTAATTTGTTTAACAACTTCTGCGCATAATTTGATCCCCACATGAATTTGTGTTACTGTTTATTTCGTGAACTATTCTGCTATAATTTTGGAAGAAACAATTGACAAAACTATATATACAGGCGTAATTACAGAAGCTATAACAAATGATGATAAAATATGGTTCTTGTACATAAATACTAATGGTGGGCCAATGCAAATTTGCATGTTTATTCACCAAATTTTTAGCATTTTTTATTTTTCTTTGAGTAAGTAATTGATAAAATGTTAATTTCTAATTATCAAGGATGAAAATAGGAGAATTTGTTAATCATTTCCAAATGCCCAGTAATTACTAGATTATATGCATATTTAATAATATACTAGGAACAGAGAGATGTGGATTATGAGAATGAGCTTATATGGCAACATATTGAAGCATTTTCATACTGATGAGTGATACATATCATTTCACTGGTTTTATTAATTTATGCTATGCTTATACAATTGCATTAAAATTAATAATATATATAATGTGTGAATAAAATTTGATAACAACAAATTGACAAACTTGATAATTTAGATCTTGTTTGTTATATACTTTACAGAACATTATATATTTTACAAAATATGCTTATTGCACGTAGGTATTCTGTGCCAGGTTATGTCGATCATGTGGTGCAGACAAATTTTTTAAAGTTTATTAATGTTAGGGTTAGCGTTAAAAATAAGGTTAGAGATTCGGTAGTTATATAGTAAGATCATTCAAGAAAAACTTTTGTTAGTGCCACATGATTGACATAACCTGGCACAGTATGGAATTTTAGGTAGAATTGATACGTATATCGATATTGGGTAGTACTAATAAGGAGGAGCAGTTAGAGCGAATCATTAAACTGCACAATTCTAATATCTGATACCCTTGCAAGATTCGTTCTGATCCCAATACCCATATTAAGCTGGTCCTTATACCGATTCCTTCCCAACTACCAAACCAGTTAGCCCGAACAGGTCATTATATCTAGGCTTTAAGTGCCTTCCGGTTTTACTTCTCTTGGTTTCTAATTCTATAGCATAGAACCTTTCCTCCGGTGCGACTTCAGCGGCCAGGTTGGTGGACCCTTCTTGCCCCAGGGTTTTCATCTGGTTCTTTGGTCACCGGTTTCTGACTTTTCTACAGTATCATCAAAGATCTTCACTACCTTCTTACTCGGGTCTTGCCAAATGAAATTTGTATACATAAAAGAAGATGATCTCCAGCATCGCATAATAAAACAAAGAAAATTGTATAAGTTTATATGATGAGTACTGTTCAAAAATTGAACACAAACAGTAAAGAAACTAGAAAAATAAATAAATGTGCATACGAATGATTTTTTAATAAATTTTTTACTTCTGATCCCTTATTGATTTCCAATGCATAGTAAATAAAATAAAGTTTATACAAATTCTGGCGCTGACAATTCTATATATGAGGAATAGTGTGATTACAATACTAAACATTTCAGTCGGAACAATGTTATTATCAATTATGCTTACTAAAAAAAGACTTTATATGTTTATTAATCACAAGGTTTAAAATATTGGAGTTTTTTTATTACAATTTATGTAAGTTTTAGTTGTTTCTATAAGAAGTATAAGAGATACAGCAAGATCTCTAAATACAATCATCATAAATGTATGCATTAGGTAAATACACAATATACCTCGTTTATAAAAGACATATATATATATCAAAGTACACATTTTACTATATTGTATATTTAGAGAGATCTCTATAATTACGTTGCGCTTGATTAGATTTTAGATGTTATTTCAGGGTTGGAAAATTAGTTGATTTAACATATATATTAACAAAGATAGAATCTTGGTATTATCGTTATTTTCCTTTCTAGTACAAATTTCTATATTAGAATTCTATATTAGAATTCTATTTTCCATCAATCGACTTCCATCAATCGGAGCAAAATCTTTTACGTATAAAAGATATTAAAGGGATTGATAGCCTTGCGGAATATTTTAAAATTGATTTATATATGGCTATATATAGATAAGCTTAAATGAAGTCAGATTTGTAGATTCATTTAAATGTTTAAGTTTAGTCTCATCATGAATTGGTTAAATTAGTGTGCTATCTACAACCTTCAATATCACTGAAAATAGGATTATATATCAAGCGCCCGATTTGTCACATCCAAAATTTTATCATATGATTTTCATAAATTACACAAATCGACGAAATTACATTTTTAAAAATTTTACCCAAAGCCCAAGTTCCAAGTTATAATACTTTCTAAACAATATTGTAGCTGAGGTTT